AACAAAAACAAAAACAAAACTAAACAAATAAAAAACAAAAACAAAAAACATGGTCTAGATGGCCTGACTTTGTACAGATACGAGATTTTGTGGGTTTAAAATTGCCGGGTACTCAAAGCTACCTTTTACCAAGGTAAACCATATGTTGCGAAAGTTTTAACTCTTTGATGTATTATGGAAACACCTCATTTAAGTAGCTGTGTTAGAGTGTATGCCATGAAAACAGATGAAGCATACAATGAACCATTTATGATCTTATAAGATACCCGCCTTGTTGCTCATTGTCAAGTCCAGTAAAAATCATGTTCGGTGATATCTCAAAGCAGATTTTATATTGATCCATTTACAGTCAAACTATAAGAAAACCGTGAACACCTGAAAATAGTCTGGAATGTGGGAAGTATTGTGTTCTGACCATTCGCATGCAAGAATGAATTTATTCCTAATTAATTAAATGTCGCATGTGATTGGTCAGAATAAGATGTTTAACATTCCAGACATATTTTCTTTAGCTTCCTACGCAAACGTTCTTACTGTCTGTCACGCTTTCTTATATTAGTTGACTGTAAAATTTATTCATTTTTTTATTTTGAATTAGATGCTTTATAATAATGCAAAAAGATTATCATATTATCATAGCCTTTTTAGAATAATGTTCCTTGTACAAAGTTATCGTTATAGAAAATATATTCTGCGTTATTTCGAAAAACCAACGATTATCATTGTGACCTCGGAAAAGCTATTATTAAACTACAATGAAATAGAGTAGTGTCGTCAATAGAAGGTGCCGTGATACCGTGAATATTTGATTGCGAAGCTGAAATCAAGCTGAATATATTCAGGGTTAGAGAATATTTTATGATGAAAGACTCGCGGCTCGGTAGAAAGACTCGAAGATTCGCGTATCGGTAAATATTCTACCTTCGGAGAATAATTGCTAAATATTAATGCGATGTAAAATCTCAGACATTACACGCCAGGGAACATTATATTATAAAAAAAGCCCACAATAAAAAGGCGAAAAGCTCGATTCAGTATCAAATAAGTGAAAGAGAAATCTATTTCGAAGTCTTTCCTTTACTTCATAATGCCATATTTATCGTGGTTGAAAGATACTGTTGGATAAACACTTGCAAGACTGAAGAAAACCGACAAATTTATAATAGCTAGACACCCTTAACATTTCGGTTAAGAATCTAGATTCACGACGTCCTAGAACAATTGTTCTAGTGCTCACAGATGGTTTTACACGCTGTAAATCTTGTAATTTTACTAAGGATATTCGTGGTTTTAGGCTTAAAATAAATTAAACTACAACGGTAATGTATCTACTAAGAACGTAAACAAGTAAACTAACCTTCTCGCGTTCCCGGTGCAACTAACATCAGTAACATGTCTTCCCTTCAAACTCCAAATTCAACAGAAAATCGGCCAGAATTTAATCGAAATCCAACAAAAAAGATCTTTTCTTCAAAGACTAAGCCAATTATTCTCAGTAAAAGGTCTCATTTTGTTTAAAATAACAGGTATAAATAAAGAAAAAGGTCACTCTTCGCTTCCCTCGAACCGTGACGCTAGTTTGCTATGGCTAGCAGACGTTCTTGGCTTGCTCATCAGAAATGCGTTGTTGTGGTCACCAAGGAAAAACGTTTGCGCATGCGTGCACTTCAGCACTTTTTCGAAGAATTTAATCTCGTACCCAGAGCCTGCGTTTCTTTCGGCCTGCGGCGAAAAACGAGGTCTCTGGCAAAATCCATTTTTTGAGACTGGGATTTCTTGGACTTCCGGTATAAGAGCGAATACGTTAAAGACTTGCCAAATATAAAAAAATATGTTCCCAATTTTTAATTCTTATTTTGATCGGAAGTAGACTCGGAACTCTGTTTGAAAGCAGGTTTGAAAGCATGATTTTCATTGATTATGTTTCACTTCCGGAAAACTGCGCATGCCCCAAAAATGGATTATGCCAAAGCCCTCGTTCTTCGCCGCAGGCCGAAAGAAACGCAGGCTTTGGGTACGAGATTGCTGAGAATTTTGAAGAGTTTGAGTGGGAAAATAAATGTTTGTTTCCTCCAAGTATACAAAAAAGTTCGAGAGTATACTTTTGTCAGACCAAGATACTGTATTAACAAACACAATATGAAAGAATTAGTCTTAAGTTTCAAGCATGGACACTAAGTTTTGGCATTTTGTGAAGTCCAATTTTTTAGGCATGTTTGAAAGCCAAAGTTACCTATGTTTTGACTAATTCGCATACGGATTTAGAGCATGCGCAGACGTTTTTTACTCCTGTCGTTGTTGTGTCCAAGTGTGAAAAAGGTTTGCGCATGCTCTAAATCGGTATGCAAATTAGTCGCTGATAAATGAATTTCACAAAATGCAAAAACTAAATGTCGGTACTTGAAACTTAAGGCTAAGTCTTTCATATTGTCATTATTAATACAATATCTTGTTCTCACAAAAGAATACTCGCAAAATGTTTTGTATGCTCGGAGAAAACGAACTTTTATTTTCTCACTCAAACTCTTCGTGCAATCTCGTACCCAGAGCCCTTATTTCTTACTGCGCATGCTCGACGAAATGATTGGGCTCTGGAAAACTCCAATATTTCCTGTGCTGTGATTGGTTCCCGAGAACAAAGGAAGATACCCGAAGTAAAAATTACAGTACTAGGGAAAATAAAGAAGATGGCGTCTCGAATTAAGTACACCAAAAAAGCCTGTAGGGCCGGATTTTTCAAAGTTTTGCCGGTTTTGTAATGGAAATTGTATTGATGTCCATAGGCAATAGATATTTTTGGAGTTAATTTAACTGAAAACCATCTTCAAAACCTAATTTTCCAAGCGCAAATTCACATGCTTGTTGAACATCGTCCGCCATTTTGAATTTACCTAGTCTGTCATAATGCGCATGTGCGAGAAACCCAGAATCTGGGTCTTCCGGTTTGGAGTTTTCCAGAGCCCAATTATTTCGTCGAGCATGCGCAGTAAGAAATAAGGGCTCTGGGTACGAGATAGGTTCTTCGTGCTGAAAGGCGCGCATGCGCGACCGTTTTTCTTTATATAGATATTTATAAATTCAATATATACATGCGTATAGGTCATGTATGTTTGGGCCGGGTTTTGGCGTCGATTTTCGCATGTGCTGAGCCCAATGCAATTGAACTTTTTTTGCTCGTTTGCGTTGGACTCGGGGTATGTGGGGGTCGACGTCCAAGGCCTGGCCTTGGCATTATTTTTTAGTATTATTAGTTAGCGTTATATTTCATATTTTAATAGCATAGTACTAGTACCATATTTTAGTATTTTACTTAAATTATATCTATTATTGTATGTATTTTATCAGGGCTCCTATTGATAACAGTTATGTTATGTAACTGAAAGGGCTACCCTGTATAAATAAAGGTTCTTTCATTTTTTAGTGTCAGTACTGGGAAGGTCTTGGTTGAAAGTTTAGAATCGTTTATGTTTAATACACGGCAACAACGGTGTACGAACTTATCTGTCTCATGCATTGAAATTATTTTTATCTTATTTTGCGGTTTTCCTACCCTGAGAGCAGAGTCTCCTTTTACCTCCTCTAAGGGCGAGAAAAGGAAAGGAGACTGCGTGCAGGCTACAGTTTTCGATATTCTGGGAACACGGTACGAGCTGCACGCTGAAATTTGGTTTTTCGCTGTCTTCAATAAAAAATAATGAGTCGGTACCTTCTATGTTCTTGAATGGGGGCAGTAAAAATCGATTTTACAACAAGCCGTTGGAATGTCTGAGTTCACAGAATATGATGGAAAACCGCAGTAAAGAAATTGAAAATTTGGAATCCAAAAACAAAACAGACGCTGAGGCGTCTCATTGTAAATATTTTGTGTACGCAAACTAGGATCGCTCATAATCCGACAACAACTCTAGTGCATCTTGTGTACTGAACCTACTACGGACCTCACCGAACTGTGGCGGCACGTCAAAAATTTGTTTCGCTACCACACCCTAATTCGTATACTGACACGCCTACTTTTGTCAATTTCTCGGATGTAGCATACTGCCAGTAAGGTATTCACTGTAATACATGTAACAAAAGTAGGCGTGTCAGTAGACGAATTAGGGTGTGGTAGCGAGACAAATTTTTGACGTGTCGCCACAGTTCGGTGAGATCCGTAGTAAGATGCAGATACGACTGCTACTGATGTATAAAAAGCAATAAAAAGCAAAAAACAACAACAACAACAAACGACAAAAAAGACAAAACAAAACAAAACAAAACAAAAAAAAGTATAAATAAATAAACAAAAACGAAAAACAAAACAAAACAAAAAACAAAACAAAACAAAACATGTTGGTCAGTTGCTTTTTTCTTTGCTTCTACTTTTCAAAATTTTATTTTTCGAAAAGCGTTTCTGTCATCGGAAATTATTTAGCCTCGATTTCGCGTACACTTCGTGTAGACTAATCTCAGTGACAATTTCGAAAGGGATTTTTATTTTGAGGTCATGTGAGAAAATTTTGAATTTGACAAAAACATTTGTAATTACATAATAGACAGCTAGCTGACTAGCTTGGTGTAGCCCGTACAGGTCATAATTCCAGTCAACTTACACCTTTATATACTAAACTATATGCTAGAGTACAAACACTATAGGTGTGTAACATAAATACCACTATATACTGATAAATTATGCTAATCCTTTTGTTTTCCATTGTTTAATTAGCACTATTTACTACTAAATAGTGCAAAGTGTTGCACACTTTTAGTGTTTGTACTCTATCGTATATTCTAACGTATTACTTTGTAAAGGTACCAAATAAAAAAGTGTCATTGTACTATTTAGATTTCGAAAGATAATTTCCAACTTCAATATTATAGATAATTACCGAATTCAGAAATTTATATCCCAATTAGGAAAATAATCTTTAAATCCGGAAAATAGTTTTTATATCTAGAAAATAATCTAAAAATTCAGAAAAATAATTTCATAATACGGAAAATAATTTCCAAATTTAGAAATCCTGAAATGTAATTTAAGTTTGGCCAGGTGGTAAACTGATCCTTCTGTTATACAGCAATTTATTATTTAGGAATTATATAATTTTATTTATTTATAATTTATTTTCTGTTTTCTTTCTTCCCTTGCAATGATTCCAGAAATATCACTGGAACACCGCTAAAACCATTTCGCAAAGTCCATTATTTTTAACCCCATGCCCACTGCGATGTTTTCAAAAGAGACATCACACAATCAACAAATCCTATTTCCTTTGACGTCAACGCTACTGAAGTAGGCGAATATGACACGATAGTTTGTTGCTATTCTTATCATTCGTTAAGTTACAGTAACGTTTTTGCCTAAACTATCCTTATGCATTCGTAATACATTTGTATCATATTAATGTGTCCCTATATTCAAATCAATTTGAAATCGGAGTTATTATTTTTTAGCACCTGTCAATGTATCCTTTTCGAATCGTACGCTTCTAAATATTCACGAATACCAACAATGTACCACTTCAAAAATACAAACACTTTGATATTCCACGGATACGTCACTCCAAAAAAATCTAGGCTAACCCTACAAAAAGGAATCGGTAGTCAACTAACACAGCGGTTTACGAATTCAAAAAAGGTCTGCCTATTCCGCAGTGTGATATTAGAACCGCTGACAATTACAGACAGACAGTTTATATTATTGCTCTTAATTGTACATGAAGTAGGTTCCAAATATATAAATATTATGAAGGTTTTATTGTAAAACAGCTGATCAGGAAGGCCCAAGTCTTATAAAATCAGTTGTTATTGTTACTAGTTCACCTATCTTTTCTTCGTCTAAATCTACATATAACTTTTTTGAATATAATATGATGAAATGTACCAAAGTATTAGGTATATTACATGAGTTAACTCGATAAATTATTGATTTTTATAAGCTTTTATAATTTTTACAATTCAAAGCAAAGCAATTATTCATGAGAACTTTTTCTCACACTGCTATATTTAGATTGTCTATATGAATATCAAAAACAGTTGGTCTTCCGAAATGAAAACTTGATCATGTTGTTTTATTTTCTAAAAATTCACACCTAAGCCTGGAGTAAATAAGATATTTTACAAGGATAATTGTTAGAGGGGAAGGTGTGGAGAGAGGAAGAAAACCCTTGCTTCCCATTCTCATTAGTTTAGCGGAAAAAAGCCAAGAGCCGCACTCTGTGGAAGCACCAATGAAATCCATCATCACCTACTTTTTCTACTTTTATTATGTTTCATATATAATACCGTTCGACAGAGTTAATTTAATTTCTTCGAYATAAAAATACCTTTGTTTCAACCATAGTATATACATCTATTTCTAAAAACGTCCGTTAGAGATCTGAAATTTGAATGATCTAAGATTGGGTAGCAAGAGTTAATTTAATTTCTTCGA